CACAGGGGAAGAAAATTGCCACACATTCTAGAAAGAAGGCCCGTGTTCATACCTCTCCCAGCTGCCAGGTGCAGACCTTTCCCCAGTGGTTGGGTGCCAGAGGTTCCCACAGGGACACGGAGCTCTCGGAGGCAGTGACCACACGCAGCTCCCTGCAGCCAGCTGCTTCCCACCACACTGTGCTCACATCCACGGCACAGGAACCTGAGCAATCCTGCCCAAAACAAACCAGGGCTGCTTTTCCTCTGATAGACATGATTATCAGTTGCATTTTTGTTAAACTTGGTCTTGCAAAGCTGCTGCTGCCACAGTAACAATTCCCTGCTGTTCCCCCACCTTTAGCTCCGACACAAGCTGCAAGTTCTCTTCTTTGGGGCCATCTGGCAGCACTGGAGTCAACTGTTCTGCTCCATCAGTTTTCTGCACAAACAAGTAAAGGAGGAGGATAGTTCAACTTTGAAATGACATTCAGCACCTGCAAGAACGAGGCAGAAGTGTTGTGTGCTCTCTGTCACTGTCATGCAGTCACTCTGCATGCTGTGGCTGCAGAGCTGTGATCCATGCAGGACTAGCATGCAAAGAGGCCTTTCCCCTGAAGTCAGACAAGACTCTGGGAAAGGGGATTTGCCCACAAAACTCCTGGCTTTGTACCTCTGACAAAGAGCCCAGCTTGTTACCTGTTCAGGAGAAGCTCTGCAGGATCCCTGCTCTTTGCTCTCTGACTGCTGATGCTTATCCAAGGCCACAGCCTGATCAGATTTATTCTCAGGACCTCTTTCATCTGCTAAAGCAAGCATGGTACTTTGTTCCTCCTCATTTGTGGCAGCCCCTGCACCACAGCTGTCCGGGAGCAGTGGCAGGGCAGGGTCCCTGTGTGCCCCATGCCCCAGGACCTGGGCAGCTCCTCTGGAGGCAGGCAGGGTCCCTGGCGAGGTGGGCACAGAAGGTGTGCCTGGGAAGACCTCACTGTGCACCGAAGGTAGAACACCTGGGGTTGCACCCACAGCAGGGAAAACAGACGAGGAAATCTGAGACTCACACTGGGTGGGAGCCCCAGCCAAGACAGTCTCCATGGGAGTAAACAGCAACCCATGGGTGGAAAGGTCCTTCTTGGAAGCTGGGCTTTCCACACAGGGGAGCTTGGGCAATCCGGTTTTGGAAGGTGAAATCAAATTACTTCTGAGGCTTTTTTCTTCTGGATTGGTTTGTGCACTTGGTGTGTCCTGTGGAGCCACACCATCCCCAGACACACTCAGAACAAAACCCTCCAAGTCATTCACAGGGGAAGATTTCAATTTCTCCAGTTTCAGCACTCCAAATTCCTCATTTGGTAAGTGGAATTCCCTGATGCCCAGCCTGGGGAGCAGCCACTGGGGGCTGCGGAAGGAGAAGAGGGAGCAGCGAGTGTCGGGGTCTGCAGGGAGGCCCAGAGCAGCAGGACCCTCTGAGCCCGTGGGACAGCTGTGCCCTCTGCTCCTGTCACCTAAACACAAGAATACAAGAGAGAACATCAGCAACTTGCCTTTTCAGAATCTCTCATCCAGACTGCCACTCCATTATATTAAAAAAAAAGAAAAGAGCCATATCCATCTTAAGACATGGAAGTGGCACTTTTCTGGAAAGACATTACAATCTGCAGTTGCTCTGCATCAAGCCTTCAGCTCAAAGGTCATGTCCAAAGCCTGACAGAACTGAGTGCTCGTTCAGTTTGGTTTGTTGGGTTTTCTCCCAACACTTTTCACAATATTCACAGACCCTCAGACTCTCAAGCTACGTCTTGTGTTTCACACTTGTTAGCACTCAAAGAAAATACTCATTAGTATGCACACTCAGTTGGAGGAACTGATGGACACCCATCTGCTGGAAATCAGCTCCAGTGTGCACAACCTTTGCTCCAACAGCAATGGCAGCTCAAGAAGTTCTCAGCCCTGCTCCTCTGCTGTTCAGTCCCTGGCACTGGGCTGAGGCAAAAGTTTCTGGAATTGTTCAAGGAACATGGGCACCACAATGACCTAATTTTTTAAAAAATATCTTGTTTATAAAAAAAAAAAGAAATAGTTAATCCCCCCCATATTTTCCTGACTAAACACTGCAGGGTGTGTGGGAATGGGAGTTCTGGGAGTGCTCATGTGAGGCAGTACCTGCTGAGCCCTGCCGGGCGCGGCGTCTTGCAGAGCAGCGCAGGGAGCGGCGCAGGGGGATGCTGATCCCGCTGATCCCACTGATCCCAGGGAGCTGCTCCACCCCGCCGGCTCCTCGCCGGCTCTTCACACTCGCCACTGGATGTTTATCAGCCTGACACACAGACGAGTTGGCTTCCAGATCTCCCACGTGCCTGGCAGAAGTTTCATTCCCTGGGCTCATGGCATCGCTGCTCTGAAGTGGATTTTGAACCTGCTCCAACAGGCGTTTGCCTGGCACTTGGCTCCCTCCCTGAGGAGGATCAGGACCCGCTGGCTGTGCAGCTTCAGCCACTCCTGTCCCTCCAGACCCCAACGCTGCAGCACCAGACAACTTGCTCTCATCTGAGGATGACTTTTCAAGGTTAACATCACAGTTTTCCTTTTCACTCTGGCTCTCACTTGGCAGCAGAGCACCACTTTCCCTGGCCATTATGAGGTCCACACTCTCTATAAGCTCCTGTGACACTGGATGCACCGGGGCTTTGCAGGCAGACCTTCTTCTTCCCTTCTGTTTCCTCTGGGATCGACTCTGCTCTTGCCTTGTGCTTTTCTGAGAAATGGATCCAAGTGAAGTGCTGCTGCTGCTGGACACAGGAAGAGATTTCTCAGTACTGGAGTTTGCTGGATCTTTTTCTGCCCCAAGAAAAGGGAACGGCATGACCCCTGACTCTAAATCAGCCTTAGCTCTCTCCTGGGAGGGCTGATCTGAGCTTGCATCTTTCTGCTTGCACTTACTCCGCTGACCTTTCTTGCTCCTGCCCAGCTGGCTGAGGATTACAGCATCCAGGTCCACCTTCCTCTGGCAGTTGGACATGCGGCGAGTTGTCCTGACATAGTACTCGACAGGGAAGAGCAGCCCCTCCACCACCGTGCAGGAGCTCAGCGCGGCCTCAGGAGCCGTCGCCTCCTGGGGAGGAACAAGTCTGGACTGACTCTCAGGCTGTGGATCCTCCGACAGTTCTCGAGCACTGCCCAGAGCACCATCTGCAGGACGGGGATTTAAGGTATCGGCATCACTTTCATCTCCTTCATGGCTTTTGCTCTCCTTGGTTACAGTGTTATTTCCGTCCTCAGGCAATACTTCATTTTCTGACACTAAATCCAGGAGCCCACATAATTCTCCCTGATCTTCATGCAAACTCTCACTGTCCAGTTGTTTTATTACACTGGGGCATTCTTCTTCTCCATCGCCTCTGGTGTAAAGTAAAACAGAGTCTCCCTCCTGAGAACACAGCTCACGGCTGCCAGGTGTGGTCACAGCCCTTGGGCACTTGAGCTGCCAGATGTCAGTGCTGTCCCTGACCACATGTGGGGACAGCTCAGGTTCTCCTGCAGTGACACTGCCCTCGAACACCTCCTGTACAGCTCCTGATGCAGCATCAGGAGTGAAACTGTTTCCTTCTCCCTTCACAAGAGCTGGCCTGAATGCCCTTTCAGGATGTTCCTCAATGTGTGAGAGGGTGCTGTGCCTGAACACCGGTGACTGAAGCTCCTCTGCACTGGCAGTTTGATTTTTCACTGTTTCCTCAGTGCTGACTACATGCCCATCAGGCACTGATTTCCTTTCCCTTGATTCCAGAGCCTTTGTCCGTCTCCTCAGCTTCATCATGCCTCTAGAGGTTTGGGATGTTTTCTCCTCAAGGACAGGCCTAATGATCCCACAGCACAGGTTTTCCTGGCTGGCCTGAACACTTTCTGCCCCTGAGCTGTCCTGCAGGCTAACCTCATCATTGGAGAATTCTGGAATGTGTTTAAATGTGACAGATGTTGCCTCCTCCATGTCAACATCAGAGCAGGTTTTAGTCTGTAACTGAGGGAGTCCACCTCTGTCAGCACTAGGAGATGCATCATCTTTAGAACCTGGGGGAAAAAATGTCACACGTGTAAAGTACTCAAAAAGTCCTGTCCAAGACAAACATCACTTTGTTAGGAGGAAAAGATGGGGATCTTACAGTCAGGATCAGAGCACTGGAGACCTGATGAGGAAGGAAGCAGAGGAGATGTTAGTGCAGAACACGGCTCAGCCCAGGGGAAGGGCCGTGTGAGGGTCTGGGGGCAGCAGATGTGACCGAGGGGACAGCGGGTGAGGGGGTCGGCAGGGCCGGTCCATCCCGGCTCCACAGGGGCACTGAGGGGCCACAGTGGCTGCACCGGGCCCCAGACCCACCGCCTGGAGAGGGCAAGGGGGGGCACAGGGCGGCTCACAGGTCCCCGGGCGCTCCCACTGCCCCAGCACGGAGCTGGGGGGTCACCCACCATCTCCCACCTGGGGGGCTCCTGTTCCACCACCTCCCAGCCGGGGGGCTCCTGTCCCACCATCTCCCACCCGGGGGGCTCCTGTCCCTCCATCTCCCACCCGGGGGGCTCCTGTCCCACCATCTCCCACCCGGGGGGCTCCTGTCCCACCATCTCCCACCTGGGGGGCTCCTGTCCCACCACCTCCCACCTGTGGGGCTCCGCTCCCGCCGGCCGTGGCTCCGGGCTCGCTCGGCTCGCCGCGCCCGCTGCGGACACACAACACCCCGGCAGGGCTGGGACCGGCTCCCGGGGCCCCGGTGTCCCCCCGCCGTGCCCCGGCCCGGCCCTGCCCGCTCACCCGCAGCCGGGTGACGGTCTCGCTGTACTCCCGCCTCAGCAGCGCCAGCTTCTCCCGCAGCTGCAAGAGACACCGCGCCGGGCTGAGCTGGGACCGGGACCGGCCCCGGCCTCGCCGCCGACCCCGTCCAGCCCCGTCCGGCCCCGCACCTTGTCCCTGTCGGCGCCGCTCAGGGCCGGCGCTGCCCGCGGCCCCTCCATGGCAACCGGCGCGGCGGCGGCGCGGGCGGAAGTGACGCGGCGGAAGCGGGGCCGGGCGGGGCGGCCATGGAGCTCAGCGAGATGCTCTACAACAAGTCCGAGTACATCGAGACGGTGGGACCGGGGAACCGGGGAGCGGGGAGCTGAGGAACCGGGGGAGCGGGGGGGCCGAGCCGGGCTGGGCTCGCCGGGGTGTTACAGGAGCGGCGGGGCCCGGGAGAGCCGCCGTGACACACCCGTTCTCCCCGCAGGCCTCCGGCAACAAGGTGAGCCGTCAGTCCGTGCTGTGCGGCAGCCAGAACATCGTCCTCAACGGCAAGGTGAGAACATCGGCACCGGGTCTGTGCCTGAGCCTGGCGCTGAGCCTGGTCGCTCTGTGCTGCTCGGTAGCACAGCTGCTGCTCCCAGCCTCCCGTGCTTTTGCTTTGTTCTCGCTTTTCTTTTGACTGAAAAGAATCGTCTCTAAGGTAACGTAATCTTGCTGGAGTGACCAGACCTTGGCGTGACTCTGTGTGACAACTGCTAGGAACGGCTGGGAATTGGATCTCACGTGCCTCTGTTCCCTTCTGCAGACCATAGTGATGAACGACTGCATCATCCGTGGGGACCTGGCCAACGTGCGGGTGGGACGGCACTGCGTGGTCAAGAGCCGCAGCGTCATCAGGCCGCCCTTCAAGAAGTTCAGTAAAGGGTAAGAGGCCCCTTCTTTTTGGGAGACACCCGAAAATATCTGTCAGCTTGACAGATCCATCTTAATCCATCTGGGGATGGGAGACTCCACAGGGTGATTTTGGGCCTAGCAGTGTCAGTTTGTTCATTGTGCACCAAACAAATACCTGTCCTGTCACAGGGTGGCTTTCTTCCCTCTCCACATCGGTGACCATGTGTTCATAGAAGAGGACTGTGTTGTCAACGCGGCCCAGATCGGCTCCTACGTGCACATAGGCAAGAACTGTGTCATTGTGAGTGCCATTCTGTCCTCTCTGCAAACTCCTGGGTACTGCTGAGGCTTTGGGACAACAGCTGAGAGGTGTCTGCACCAGCTGGCTAGAGCAGGCACTGACTCTGCGCTGTTCCTTCCTCCTCCTCTTCCTTCTCTGCAGGAAGCAGGGCTTTCAGGTTTGCTTTTCCAAGGACAGCAGGTTCAGCTGGTGCTGGTTGGAAAATCCATCCCAGCAGTGTTGTCCCTGTGGCTAATGGGACTGCCCGGGGAAGGCAGCCTGGCCACAGAGTACAAGTGGAGTTGTGTTTCTGTGCAAATAACACCAAATAGTCAAGGCTGCTGAGGTAGAAAAGGTCTTGCTGGCACTGCATGACTCGGGCCAATTTGCACATTGACTTGTTAATGTGCAGCTACCTGTACCTGTGCTAGTTAAAAGCAAACATGTTTTTCCTCAAAAAGAAAAGCTAATTCTGTTGGGAGGAGCATTCAGTCAGGGTAAAGAATTATCCCTGTGATCTCTTATACAGAATGTGTCTTGAGCAATTAATCTTCTTGAAATTTAGGTAATATATCAGTAATAAGCAAAAGATCTCGTGTTTATAGTGTTTTAAGTATAAACTTTTCCTGTTCTCTGTTTTAGGGTCGTAGATGTGTTTTGAAAGACTGCTGCAAGATCTTGGACAACACAGTACTCCCTCCTGAAACTGTAGTCCCACCTTTCACTGTTTTCTCAGGCTGCCCAGGTATGCTCCCTCTAACTTCTCTTTCACAGAAGTGTGGATAACATGGATATTCTTATTTTAAATTAGATTGTTATAACAAAGTTGCTTCTTAGCATTTAGTGCCTAGAAATAAAGGTATCAGGCAGTTGCTGCACTGAAAAGTAATAGTTTTAACTTGTGAAACTCCCTGCCTTAGTGCACAGTAGGCAGAGGGTGCATGATGACTGATGTCAATGCTCTTGTTCTTCTTCCAGGACTCTTCTCTGGGGAGCTCCCGGAATGCACCCAGGAACTCATGATTGATGTTACCAAGAGCTATTACCAGAAGTTCTTGCCACTCACTCAGGTCTAGTAGCCCATTTCCCGTGTTTCAGGCACACAGGAGCATTCTGGGGGTGGGGAGAGGGATGATGTCCAGTGAGACCAGGGCCCAGCCCTCCACTCTCCTGAGCACTTGTGTGAGTGTCCCTCAACACCACCAGCCTGGCCAAGCAGTCCCTCGTGAAAGCTGCTGTGTCCTGTTCAAACTTTGTCTGCTCATCCGATGTTCTCCATTCCACGTTGTCTGAACTGTGCCACTGAGTGTTCTGGAGCTGGGACAGCTGATACACCTGCCTTGGGGCAGCAGCGGGGGAATGAGGCAGAGCTGACACGTGCTCTGCAGCCTCAGCCTGTCTGGTCAGTTCTGTCCTAGCCCAAAGCCTGGCCTGTAGGTTTGCTAGTCCAGCAGGGCTGCTTTGGGTGTGCTCTGGACACCTACTGAGGTTCCTTAGACCCAGGGCTTTCCTTTGGCAAATCCTTGCTGCTCCATAGGCCTGTGGGCTGAGCTGGATGGCCTCTTCCTTTTCTCCCTGGGATTCTCTTCTGTAGGGACATCGTTCATCATCCTGCTGTTGGCTTTAGGAATTTTGGCTGACATTGACACCTGTCTTTCTGTGCCTGACAGGATGTTTCTTAGCTTTTAGCTCCTGAAGCAGACTGACATCAGTCCTGTGCTCTCAACCCTCAGGGTTAGTGTTCTTGTGGCCAGTGTGTGTTCTACTTCTGAACATCACAGACCTTAAAGAGCCAAAGGCCTTTGGGAAGAGGTTTGCCATGTCACTCACAGAATTCAGTGCAGCAGAAAGTGGGTAATTAAAAGCAGAAACCAGTGGTGGGTGAGAGAATGCTGCAGCTGTCCCCATTTATTACCCAGTATCTATATTTGCAGAGAGCTTTTTGGTGCTTTTCTCCATTATGAAGCTTAGGAATGAGAGTCATTTAATTTTGGACATGTAGTAGAGCAGGAATAGTTCTTTCTGGGAGCAGCTCTGAAAGTTGGAAGCATCTGATGCTTGTATATCTGACTGAGTACAGACAACTGGCTGCACATGAGTCTGCCTGCTCTGGTTGTGCTCTACTAAAGCTTGGCATCATACTGCTGTAGGTTTTAAACTGGGGCTCCTGCATGTTGTAGTGTAGCAGCTGGGGCCAGGACATTAGGTGTGCAGTAGGTGTGTGGTTGTGGATGAGCAGCCCTGGAGCCCTCAGCTGATCTGTGCAATGCAAATGCTGATAAATCTTAATAGCAAACAGCTGTACAAGTACTGATGTGTGTAGTAGCTGCTGTTCATCACATGTAAAACCACTGACCGGTTTGTTTGTATTTTTACTGTACATAAATTAAAGCCTCTCCAGTTATTCAAGTGACTCAAGGTTGTACCTCTTCAAATCAAACTTGAGACTAGACTGAGGTTCCTGCTGTGCCTGGGCGTGAGTCCCAGTCCCTTGTTCTGTGACTGTTACGGGCTGTTCTGGCTGTCAGAGTGTCAGTGCATTAAAGAAGTGAAGGACAGAGTGAAACAGCTGCTTTCTCCCTCTGAGGGGCTGGAGAGGCCTCCCCTGTCACCAGACCTGACACGTTTGGGGCTTCTTGTGAGATTCTCTGCAAGTCCGGTGTTCAGAGCGTGTCCTGGGGTGTCCCTGGCAGGGCCTGGCAGGAGCGTGGTGTCTGTGCTGTGTTGCCATGGTGTCACCTCAAAGTTTCAACGCCACATCCTGCGTTTCACCGGGATCGCTTGACCAGCAGCTGCAGCGGCTGGCAGAGGGGTGGGAGGGGGGATGTGAGTTGGGATGGAGTGGGATGGCAGCTGGAAAAGTGTGAGTGATGCATTCCCACAGTCACCTGAGAGCAGAGCTGTAGAGCATGGAGGGATATGTCACTGCAGTTACGTGTTTCGTGGCCTACTCTTCCTTCTAACAGGCTGAGCCAACCCTTCTGCCTTAACTAAAACCTCTTTTATTGTCTCTGTTAAGGTGGCCTCTGCCAGGGCCTAAAACCAAGCTGCCACTGAAGATCCCAAACACCCAGCACTGTTAACATTCCTTACATTGGCCACTTTCTCCTCCTGTCTCTGAAGCATCCCTCTGACCTGGGCTCACCTCTCCGCCTGTGCCAGCTCTGGGAAGATGGAGTGTCAGTGGCTGCCACAGCTCTGCTGGCAGCGTTCGGTCCAGCGTGGTGCAGTAAAACCTGACCCCTGGGGGGCTGTGCCTGTAGCCAGAGGAGCTGCAGCAGTGGGGAAGCATGTCCTGCAGGGAGGGGAATGCCTTCTTTCAGGAATCCTGTACAAACACGGAGCACTTCAACCCCCAAGTCGCTGTGTCGCTTCATTGATCCTGCTTTGCTCCCGTGTGCTTTGCTCCGGGTTGCTCCAGCCCACGGGCAGGCCATGCTGCCATGCTGCCGGTGTTTCAGGTGTTCAGAGTCCCTGGGAACACCTCCCGCTCTGTGCCAAGCACCGATGGCTCAGCAGGAGGAGCTGAGGTGGCCTGTGAGGGGTCACCGGGCGAGTGGGGGCTGTGTCTGCTTTGTGGGGAGCAGAATCTCCCGAGATGATCCAGCTCCATGGGGGGAAGGACAGTTGAACTGGCTGTGGTGATCTGCAGGGCTCAGGGCTTGCTCCTGTGTGCTGGGCTCTCCAGGACACCCTGGGGACCAACGGCCTGTGCCAGTGGGTCAGGGCCAGCTGGGGCACTGGCTCAACTCAGGGGACCAGCCTTCTGTTCTTTGTTAGCCAGGGCTGAAAGCAATAGCTGCTGCTGATGGGGAAGGCCAAAGGAGGTGAAGTCCCTGCCCTCATCCCGCTTCCAGCCAGGTGGGACTGTGTGTACCTGGAGGCAGAGAGCAGGCACCTGGGCTGGGCCCCTGCTGCTGGTTTTGTGCCCTTTGGGGTTATTTTTCACTGGTGTTTTGTTCTGTGCCAGTGGGCAGCAAGGTGGGGTTAAGGGATGGGAGCATCCCATGGTCACTTCTCTTGGCAAGTGGTGCCAGGCCCAGGAGCAGCGCCGGGGGCGGGGTGCCCTGGGGTGGGGGGGTCACTGAGGGGAGTCCTTGAGGGGAGTGGGAAGAGGAGGGTGAAGAAATCGTTGATGAGGTCAGAGAGAGCCCAGAGAACTGTGAGAACGTCACCCGAGAGGCAGCGGGAGCGAGGGGGAGCCAGTCCAGGGCCCCGATTCCCGGGTCCCCGATTCCCGGGTCCCCGATTCCCGGGTCCCCGATTCCCGGGT